ACCCACGGTGTGGGACGGAGAGATTTCGCAGGTCTTTCCTCCCCACTGCTGTCAGACTCCATAATAAAAACTTTAACTGATCAAACACACACATCCATACATGTGCAATAACACTAAGTGCAATAATCTTTTCTGGCATCGTTGTATTTTTACATAGTTGTATATAGCATTCGTATTCTATTTTTATCTTATTGTATATTTTTATTCTATTTTATTCCACTGTATATAGTATTTTATTTTATTCTATTCTGTACAGCTGTGTACTGTATTTATTCTTATTGTATTTTAATTTTTGCGTCATAACTTTTGCACTGTCCACTTCCTGCTGTGACAAAACAAATTTCCCATGTGTGGGACTAATAAAGGTTATCTTATCTTATCTTATCTTGACTTTAGTTATCCACTGCACAGAATTATCACACCTCTCTCACTCCTCACGTCTGTATAAAATAAAGCCAACCAACTAAGTAGTTCACAGCATTAACTTACCAGAAGAAACACTGATTGTCTCGGCATGTTGTCCCAGGCGGTTACTGACGTTGCAAGTGATAGTCAAGTTCTCCTTGGGGACTATGGTGATTTTATGAATCACTTTGCCATTGATGTAGGAGCTCTCCTCCTGAAGGCACACACACAACACATTGTATTGGCTTAACTATTCTACAGGATATTTTCTATGTTCTTTGTCAGTTACATAATGGTGTCATGATGTTAGTTCTCTTCCTTTCAATATATAATATCTCAAAATGTCCTAGGATCCTCATGTCCTTATGCTACACACTGGAAGAAGCACCCAAGGGAACGGGAAAAGCTGGCTAGTACACTCGCCAGAATCAGGGCTCATCTCTGTGCTTCTTATGGAACTAGACCAGATGAGTACACTATTAGATGGATTCTGCCTGTTGCCCCTAGAGATCCCACGCCATTGGATCAGCTGGTCCACACTACGATTTAATAGTGTGTCACTTTTGTGTCGCGTTTTCCTAAGCAGCTTCGGTCCTCTGGACGTAGCATGTATCCCACAAATCTTCGCACCCTTGCTCATACTTTAACGTCTGCACCCTTCCCGGCTCTATTAAATGCTAGCTCACCAGCAAACAAGATGTTTGTATTAAATGACTTAAAGTCGCAGCAGCTGGATTTTCCATTTTTGACAGAAACTTGGCTTCTACGTGACAAGTCTGTTGCTTTTTCTTCCTCCAGCTCATTCTTCAGCCTCCCTCAGACCTAGTGGTGCTGGTTTAGCTATAGTGTTCAACACCCATTTCCGTTGCCATAAAGCAGTGCAGGATTATTCATTCTCAAGTTTCGAAATCCAGCTTTTTGAGCTACACCTGAATAGTCCTGCGCCTTTGCACAATTATAAGCACTTTATCCAAGAGTTTTCAGATTTTATGACCAGAACTTTTCTTAAGTTTGATCAGCACCTAAAAGACGAGCACCTAATGGTTTAATAGTGTGTCAATTTTGTGTCGCATTTCTTGATCCTGGGATAATTAACTTAAGCTGTGAAAGCATCAAGGATTTTCTGATATTTTAAATTAATTTTTAAGTGTACTAAAAATATTTTTGATATTACTGGTCTTTATATCCAGAGATTAATTAACACTGGCCTTGTTACAGGTTGTTCCCTATCATGTTTTAAAGACGCTATAGGTGAGCCCCTTTTTAAAAAAAACACAGTCTGGGCCCAACTGTTCTGGCTAACTACAGGCCAATTTCAAAGCACCCCTTTCTTTCAAATGTTTTAGAGAAATTGGTCTACTCACAGTTGCAGGCTTAATGGGATCTCTGAAATTTTTCAATCTGGTTTTAGATTACTACACGGCACTGAGACAGCACTTTTAGGGGTTTTTAATGATATTCTATTAACTGTGGGTTCTGGCAGACCTGCTGCCCTCTTGTGGTTGGACCTGGCAGCAGCCTTTGACACAGTTGACCATGATATCCTCCTTAAAGGATCTGTTCTTCAGTTGTTTCAGTCATACTTATTTGGAAGGACCTTTTATATGAACATGGCTCAAAAATAGCCCCTCTTAATTATGGGTGAATTAAGGGTCAATTTTGGGTCCAGCCTTGTTTGATCCGGTATGTTGTCACTGGGGTCTATTTTTTCATAGTATAACCTTTTATTTTACTGTTTTGCAGATGACTTGAAGAGACTAATTGCCTTAAAGACGCTAAACAGTGGATGTCCTTAAATCTTTTAAAACTAAATGAAAACCAAACAGAAATGGTTATTTTTGGCATCTCTGTTAGTAAATATCGACAGTACTCTGGGCCCTTTATCTGCTCATTGTAAGACAAATGTTAAAAACCTTGATGTGTACTTTCATGGTTCCTTTAAACTGTGTAGGCAGTTGAGTTCAGTAGTCACTAGTCAAGTAGCTTTACCCATCTCAGACAGCTAGCCAAGGTAAAGCCATACCTTCCAACTAATGTCTCTGAACGTGTTTCGACTACATGTTATCCACTTCAAGGTCTAAACTTAAATCTTGTAGCAACAGAGACTTCTCTGTGGCAGGTCCCAGACTCACAAACACTGGAAAATTTTAAATCTCTACTGAAGACACATTTTTTTGGACTGGCTTCTAGCACATGTCACTTGAACAATTTTTTGTTTGCTTTAATAGCCTCGAGTCATTGTTGTTCTTAGTTGTTTTATTATCTTATTGTATTTTTCTTTCGATCTTATATTTTTATTGTATCATTGTCATGCATGTGCCTTATTTAGTTCCTTTTTAGTTTGTAAAGCACTTTGTGCAGCACAAGCTGTTGTAAATAAATCTGACAGTAAACCCATCGAGCAAAATCATTCTGGTAGGAGTTCATACAAGCTACTTTTCTATTCCTTTATCTTACAGCTGCATAAACTGGAGCAGCCAGGGATCGACCCACCCTTTGATACTCTCTCCATTGTCTAACTGGACATGTGCTTAAGGTACTAACACACGATGACAACACTTACCTTTATTGGGTTATTGACGCTCCACTGGAACTGGGGTTTTGGTACTCCTTCAGCTTCACAGGTTAGGACTGTGTCTTTGCCATCAGCAGCACGATATTTAGTAAGGTTGGTGATCCGAGGCTTTCCTGATACAAACACATTATTTTTCTTTTTTACATTATTATCTTTGGCATCAGACCATGCAACATAATTGAATTTACAAAATATTACAACATATAGTTTTTTTTTTCAGACAACCAAACTAAACATTGTTGAGTTGTTATGCCCTTGTAAATCTTACAGTGAAGGTGCATCGGGTATAAAGTTCAAGAGAATTTATGAAAGAAGCCTCAAAGCTATAAGTTCAGTGACAATAACATCAACAGTAGACTGGGATCGAACCACCAACCCTCCATTTAGTAGGTGACCTGCTCTAATACCTGAGCTACAGCGACCCCAGTATTGTGTATTAAAATATGAAGCCAAGTGGTCCTGCCAAGTATCAATGTGTGTGAAGACTGCATTCTTCCTCACCTTCTATGACTAGTTGAAAGCTCTGACGTCGTGTCAGACCAGTCAGTGAAACTTCACAGATGTAGTCTCCAGCATCGGCAAAGGTCAAATTACTAAACTCTGGTCTCTTCACCATCTTTCCATTCTGCAAAGCAGCATCACATACAGTCAATGTTTTAATAATCTGGACCTTTAACTCTAATGTAAGTGAAACAGCAAAATATACATTTGCTTATCACCAAATTTGGTTAAGTTTTACTTATTCAGCTGCCTTTGCATGTGGCCCTACCAAGGACAGGTAATAGATATGTAAATCAGATGATATCAAATAGTTCTCTACTCTTTAGCCACTGCTCTTGTTCAAGGTCACAGGAATGTTAGCTTAAGTGGAAATTCAATATCATGAAGCTAACATGGAGTTTATACAGCCATATTACACAAAGACGCAGTTAGAAAATGTCTTCTTTTCTTGCAAACAATTTCATTTACTTTAATATTTTAAATGCCTATTTTCTGAAAAACAATGTACAGTGGGGCAAAAAAGTATTTAGTCAGCCACCGATTGTGCAAGTTCCCCCACCTAAAATGATGACAGAGGTCAGTAATTTGCACCAGAGG